TGGCTAATTTTTTGATTTATTGTAGAGATGAGGTCTCGCCAAGTTGCCCAGGCGGGTTTTCGAAACTGTGGGCTCAGGCAATCCACTCACCTCAGCCTCCCAAAGTGCTGGGATAACAGGCTGAGCCACCAAGCCCGGCTTGACTTTTTTTTAAACACAGGTGCTTATGCCCTTTAGAGACTAATTTCTTTAAGTTCTTCCTACTAAAATAACATCAAATGTAATGTTCTTTCCACACTGGCCATCTGCTCTGTTTTATATGAAGAAGCAAATTAAAATTTATAATCTTCAAAGCATAGGATTCTGAAAATGTTATTTTAATATCTGAAAACAAGGCCGGGTACAGTGATGCATGCCTGTAGTCCCTGCTACTCAGGAGGTTGAGGTAAGAAAATGGCTTGAGCCTAGGAATATGAAGCCAGATGGGGCAACATACCAAGACCTCATTTCAAACAACAACAAAATAGTGAAAACAAAAATAGATCTGATAGGAATGGCAACATGAGAAAATGGTAAGTACATCAAACATTTAAAGAATCGGTCATAAGCCAGGTGTCTGCAACAAAATTAAATGGAAAGTTGCAATCATTACATGAATGAAACCATTTCAAAGAGCTAGCTATTAAGATCAATACATATTTTTAAAAACTGAATTATCAATATAATTGTCTTAATGCTTTTTTTTGTTAATTAGTTTGTTTAAGCAATTGAGACTTGGTCAGGGAGAATTCTTTCAGATCAAAACCAAGGATAAGTTCTAGTATATTACCCAAGTACCATTTCCTGTGCAACCAATGAATGAAAAAAGATATTTACAATGAGAAGAAAAAGTAATTGCCATATCATAAATACTGAAACCAAAAATACTGTAATCAGATCATATATCTTTCATTTGATCTTGTTATTTGTTTGTTTGTTTGTTTTTTGAGTAGGAGTAGCACTCTGTTGCCCAGGCTGGAGTGTACTGGCACGCTTGCAGCCACTGCAGCCTTGACCTGCTGGGCTCAGGTGATCCTTCCGTTTCAGCTTTCCAAGTAACTGGAACTACAGGCATGCGCCACTATGCTCAGCTAATTTTTCTTGATATATTGTAGAGAAGAGGTCTCGCCAAGTTGCCCAGGCTGGTCTCAAACTCCTGGGCTCAGGCAGTCCTCTCACCTCAGCCTCCCAATACGCTGGGATTATAGACATGAGCCACTGCACCTGGCTTCATTTAATCTTATTAAATACATAGGTAATCATCATCAAATATATTTTAATGTATTTACATATCTATATAGATATGTTCATCTACATATTTTATTTTATTTTATTTTTTGAGTTAGAGTCTCACTCTGTTGCCCAGACTGGAGTGCAGTGGCCCCTCCCAGCCACCGCAGCCTCGACCTGCTGGGCTCCAGCGATCTTTCCGCCTCAGCCTTCCGAGTAGCTGGAACTACAGGCGCGTGCTACCACGCTACAGGCTAATTTTTTGATTTATTGTAGAGATGAGGTCTCGCCAAATTGCCCAGGTGGGTCTCGAACCCATGGGCTCAGGCAATCCACTCACCTCAGCTTCCCAAAGGCGGATTACAGGCTGAGCCACTGAGCCCGGTTTCATCTACATATTTTAAAGCTAGGCATCATTCAGTTATGAAAGGCAATATTCACTTAATTCATTATTATGCCTTTATTTAAATCACATCATCTTGATATTTGGTTTCACTGTCATGCTTTGAGAAGTTATAAAGTGGTTTCATAACTAAATTGGTGTCATTAGTCAAGTTGGAATTTTATTTCAGTATTCTCAGGGAGAATGAAATCAATTAAGGGGGTAAAAGACAAATGATTATGAATCAAGGGAAGAAAGATTATACAGAATTTCCTTCCATAAGGTCAATTTAATTATAGCATAATGATTTAATAGAATGTGTAGAAAGCTTTAAAAAACCATAGTTTCTGACAAGAGAATAAATAATCCTCCAAAATGATGTGTTCAGATTTTTTTCTATTTTAAGGACTTGATTATGGATTAAGGGAAACGAGATATAGAGATAAAACTCATTAGATCAGTAGGAAGTGAAGCACAGAAAATACTCCCATTTCCTAAACAGGTAAGTCACCTAGACAATAAGCATAGGTGACACTGTATCCATATGAAATCACAAGGGCTGGGATCAGTGGCTTAGCCTGTAATTCCAGCACTTTGGGAGGTCGAGGTGAGTAGATTGCCTGGGACTGTTGGTTTGAGACCAGCCCGGGCAACTTAGCGAGACCTCGTCTCCACAATAAATCAAAAATTAGCCGGGTGTGGCTGCCTGTAGTTCTAGCTACTTAGAAAGCTGAGGTGGAAGGATTGCCAGATCCTAGCGAGTTGATGCTGGGGTGGCCGTGAGTGTGCCACTGCACTCCAGCCTGGGTGACAGAGTGAGACTCCAACTCAAAAAAAAGAAAAGAAAAGAAAAGAAATCACAAGGACTGGAACGTTAATGTGCATTTTCTCACTTTTTTTTTAACGTTTGCTTTTTATTTTTTGCATTTTCTCACTTTTAAAGATAAGTGTAAGGAATTGTGGCTAGCCAGGTTCGGTGGCTCAGCCTGTAATCCCATGCCCTTGGGAGGCTGAGGTGAGTGGATTGCCTGAGCCCGCGGGTTCGAGACCCACCTGGGCAGCGAGACC